TGGGGAGTGGGGTGACCCCACCCGGCGCCCACTTGCACGTGCTGCAGAATCCTCCGGGCACACCAGTCTCCCAGCTCAGCGTATTTGCCTGCCAGCTCCTGGTCCGCCTCCCCGAGCTGCTCCACCAGGCTTAGCAGCATCATGGGCACTGCCATGGGCTCCGCCGTCGGGGCCCCTGGGAGCCGGGGCCGGCCCAGCCCCGACGGGTCCTCCCGCACCCAGAGGATGATCTGATCCATCATCTCGACTGCTTCGCTCTGGGGAAGAGGGGCACGTGCGGCGGCCCAGACTGAGGCTGCGTCCCGTCCCGTCCCATCTGGCCCGTCCCTGCGGATGTGGCCCTGAGGCGGGATGAACTCCAAGGATGCCTCACCAGGGGCCCCGGGCCAGGCGCTGGGGCCAGGCAGACCCGCCTCACCCTGCCTCGAGGGCTCCCGGTCTGGGGATGCAGGCCACTCTCAGGCTGTGGGGTCAAGCTCTGGCGGCACAGGGGGCCCAGGGAAGAGGGGGAGGCCCCTTCCCAACTGGGGGCGGGGCACGGATAGAGCCCTGACTGCCCGGGGCCTCTGTGGGGATACATGGAGCGTTCAGAGGTGAAGGAGACTCAGTGCAGGGTGGGGGGAGACACCCTTAGACACAAACGGTAACGGTACGGGGGGGGGGTTGCTGGAAGCCCTGGGGTCATGAGGGCTGGGAGGAAGGAGAGTCCCAGCCTGCAGACAGGACCAGAGGAGGGGCCGTGGCAAAGTGCCGGGGCGGGGCCTTCAGGTGCCCCCTCCCCCTGCATCCCCTCCTGGCAGCTGTGCTCTCACGCACCTGGTACCGCACTTCCCCGGTCACCTGCCACAGCTCGTTCATGGCCATGGTGTAGAAGCACTCACTGAAGATGGTCCGCTGCACCTTGACCGGGCGGCCGTCCCGAGTCAGCACAAAGGCACACTTCTTGCCAGGAGGTGCCACGCGGGCATAACGCAGCAAAAACTCACCACCTGGTGGTTGGGAAGTTGGCATGAGAGGACCCCCCCCACAACACCTTTGAGCCTCCTCAGGCCCTTTGCTGCTTTTAGAGCCCCCCCCCGGGACTAGGCACATATGCCCTGCGAGTGAACATGGACTAGGTCCCTGGGGAGATGGGGACACCTGCTTTTGCTGAGTCCAGAAGCTCAGCGTGGCGGAAGCGCTCGAATGTGCGGTACAGGCGACAGTACATCCATACCTGGGGGGGCAGGAGGGAACATTGTTTAAGGGGGAGCGCGGGGTGGGACCCCCAGATGACCCAATTGTGGGAGGAGTCCGTTGAGATGACGGGCCGGGCTGAGGCCGGCCAGGCCCAGCGCAGCAGCTGGGCTTCGAGGCAGGAAACACCTTACCTGCCTCCCCTGCAGCCAGACGTACTTGAGGTCGTCATACATCCGCCCGTCGCGGCCAAGGCACGTGAAAAAGCCCCTGTGGGAGTGCAGGGTTGGAAAGGGAGGACAGGGTCTGCCCTCCACCAGGCCAGTGGCTACTGGGGCTGGCGGGTCTCTGAGTTCCCCGAGTGAGACCAGGGCTCGGGAGGGGCGGCGCACCCGTGCTCCCGGTCGTGGGAGTGCTCCGTCCAGAAAGCCACCACACGGTCCAGCTCCTGCCCCACGCGCTCCTTCCAGGACTGCAGAGTCTCCCGCTCCTTCTCCATGTCCTAGGGGAAGTCGGGGCTTGAAGGCGCGGCTCCCCCATACCCCAGGATTCCAGCTTCCTCAGCGGCTCAAGCGGGTCCCGGGGCTGCCTGACCGTCTTCCCTAGACCCCCGGCTCTCAGGATCACCCCACCCCTGCGCCAGGCTTCTGGCCTCACCCTTCCCCAGGACCCTCCAAGACAGCACTCTCCGCCACCGGCCCCAGCACCGGCCTGCTGCACTCGGAGACCCCGGCTCATCCCTCCCTCTCCTCCAGGAAGCCAGACAGAGCCGGTCGCGGTCCCGTGACTGCCACTCAGCTGACCGAGCTGCGCCCGACCCACCCCTCCTCCTCAGGGTTCCCCGGGGGCGGGGCCCATGGCAGGGGCGGGGCTTGGAGGCTCAGTCCCCCGCGCTGCGCGCCCGCAGCGACCCTTTCACAGAGTCCGGGCACCCGTCTCTGCTAGGTGCCCTGATGGCGAATGCTGGGCTAGCAGGACAGTCTAGGACGAGGCAGGGGGCAGAGCTGGCTCCCCATCCCCTCCCCCCTGCCTGCCACCTTTA